GGGTTCCTAACTGAAAGGTTACAACGAGTTGTTGTAGATGGAGAGTCATCTGAATGGGTTCCAGACACCTCTGGTGTACCACAGGGCACAGTTCTCGGCCCACTTATGTTTATATCCTTCATCAATGACATAGTAGATGGGATCTCTTCCAAAATCCGACTCTTTGCTGATGATTGTCTTCTATACCGTCCGATCACTGATGTCACTGATAGCCAAGCCCTACAACAAGATCTCAACAGGCTGCATTCATGGGCTAACACATGGCAGATGAAATTCAACACCGAGAAATGCTACCACATCACATTCTCCCTACGTCGGAAAGCCATCACCACGACATATACGCTAGGAGACACTCCTCTTGCGTTGGTAACAGATCTCCGGTATATAGGACTGACTTTCTCATCCAACTTGTCCTGGCAAGGCCAAATGAACAACATCACATCCCGAGCCAATCGGATGCTAGGACTAGTCAGCAGAAATCTCCGCAAAACCTCACAAAAGATCCGCCAACAAGCCTACTTCTCTCTTGTTAGACCTTATCTGGAATACTGTTGCTCGGTCTGGAACCCTCACACAAACAACCATATATCCAAAATCGAAGCAGTACAAAGGCGAGCAGCAATATTCACCCTCCAGAGATATCGTCGTATGGCAAGTGTCTCGGCCATGATTCAACATCTGAAATGGGAGAGCCTGGAGAGGAGAAGAAATACTGCAAGCCTCCACCTCATGTACAAGATTCCAAACAACACAGTAGCCATCAATGCACACCATTACACATCACCCATGACTGTCAGCAACACACGACAGTATTACTCAAAGAAGTTGCTGGCTTTCCCATCCCGCACCCAACTCTACCAGAACTCATTTTCCCTTGGACAGTAACTGCGTAGAATGCACTTTCGAAGATCACCCTTGACGCTACTTCACTGGAGGGCTTCAAGGGAGCGCTTCCACCCAGCATCTAGACCAAGAACTAAATAGTGTATTCCTCAGCACTACATCCAGACTTATATATCCTGCTGAGTATCGTCGTAGAAGTAGAAGTAGAAGTATATCCATCTTCGATTGGATTATTAATTGTGACGAATTGGATTTCAAGAGAGATGGGCGTGTTTTTCGCGAGATCCTGAAAAATACACTTTTCTGCAGCCAAATTATGGACTCAAGGAAACTTTTTATACCAAACTGACGACGAAAGGACAGTAGTAACATTTGTGTAGTTCATTTTTCACAAATGGTTAGACTTTTAAAGATTTTGGCAATTGTATACAGTTAATTTGGTCAATTTTTTAATATTTATTTTCTTGATTTTTGAACATTAAGCGCAATATAAATACTTTACGCACAATTCCCCTTGGATACAGCGCAAGTGAGCGCAAAGATACAACGCAAGTGTGCGCTAGTGAGTTATCTCAGTATTTATTACGCAGTGATGTTAACGCAGTTCTTTTCAGCGAACAGGTGATATTAAATGGCGTCACAATGACCATCGTTAACGTAAGAAGTCTCCGTGTGAAGGAACTCAAAGCTGAACTGCAGAAACATGGTCTAAATATAAATGGTGGAAAAGATACTTTGGTTAATAGGCTGCAAAGTGCAATCGATAAAGAACTAAATGACAATATCCATCAATCTCAGATCAATAATGTCAATCAAGCGAGTAATGACAAAAGACATCGAGAGACGAATACTGAGCAAGCTGATCTCTATGAACTGTTCAATCTAAGTTCGATAGTGCTAATCTGGTAAGGGAGAAAATAGATCTTAATGAGATAGTGGGAACTATCTCAAAAGTTAATCCCGCGAGGTATGATAAGCGACCAGGAAATGTTTATACCGTTCCGACGAAGAATAGGTTCGATGTCCTTGCGGATAAACATGTCACTTACGCTGAGCCTGCTACTTCGATTTCGACTAGTGACCAGATCAACAAGTACCAAGTAGGGCATCGCCAACGCCGTTTGTCTGAGCTACATGATACTGTCCTCGAAGGCATAGACGTCGAGCCTTCTACTTCGATGTCGACGAGCGACCAGATCAAAGAGTACCAAGATGGGCATCGCCAGCGCCGCTTGTTGGAGGTACCTGATGCTGTTTTCGAAGGCACTGACGCCAAGTCTTCGACTTCGATGTCGACGAGCGACGAAACCAATGAGTTCCGACAAGGGCATCGCCAACGCAGCTTGTCTGAGCTACCTGATGTTGTCATCGAAGGCGACTCGGTGATCAAGCACATCGAGGGACGACTCCTGAACCGAAAACATCGAGTAGTCTGCCATCCGAACCCAGGGGCAACGGTGGCTGATATCTCCTCTAAGAAGGCCACTGAGGGTGTAAAGGTGAAGGGAGACGTCGTTGTACATGTCGGGTCAAATGACTTGTCGAAAGGTTATGGTAGTACATCCACCGACGATAACATCATAGCCTTAGTAGACGTGATTGCAGCAAAAGGCTGTGATGTATGCTTGTCTAGTGTTATACTCCGCAGATTGGAATCGGTTCATCAGAGGCGCAGTGTCGATGGGGTAAATGGGCGATTGAAAAGAGCTGCCCGTGAAAGGATATGGGGTTTAATTGACACCGATAACATAGGTGACAGGCACCCTGGCAGAGATGGGGTCCACATCAATAAGGCAGGACAAGCCGTTCTTGCCTCGAATCTACGCCACTTTATTGAGTGACCTCAAAGGCCACCTACACCTACTCGTCAAAGGTCCTACGCTGAAGTTGTTGGATCTTCAACGCAGGATTTCGAGATAATTGCACCGAGAGGGAGACTAAAATCTGCACCTGCTCTTCCAATGCTTCCTCTGACAAAAGCTCAACAGGGGTGGCACGAGCATCTACGTCTCGTCATGGCAACATGCAGTTACACTCTGTATGTGATACTGGCATACTCCATTATAATTTTCAGGAACAGTCTCATGAACTGAATAAGAGTAAAATTAAACAGTTAGAAGGTGGTTCAGTTCCTCCGTTTAGAAACAGGGACTTAAAATTTGCCCATTTGAATATTCATAGCTTAGTTGCTAAGATTGACGAACTTAGATTACTTCTGAGAAATGCATCATTTGATGTTATTGGTTTAAATGAAACATTTTGCGACTCAATGATTGATGATTCTGAATTGTATATAGATGCTTATATTTTATTACGTAGAGACCGTACGAAACATGGTGGTGGTGTGGCTGTATATATATATCCAAAAGGTTCAATTATAAAAGAAGGGATGTTTTGAAATCATCTACTTTAGAATGCCTTTGGTTTGAATTGCATTATCCAAATAAGTCCTATCCTGGTTGGAGAGTTTTACAGACCTCCAAATTCTCACGTTGATTTCTTTGAAGAATTAGACGGAAATTTGGACTCTGCTCTCTCGGAAGATATAAACTGTATTATTTTAGGTTATTTCAATTGTGATTGTATGCCACACCAACTTGATCTGAATGTTGAAAAGTTAATGTTTTATACAAATATGTACGGGCTAAGTCAGCTAATTGATACTACCACAAGAGTTACAAATACCTCTTCTACCTTAATTGATTTGATATTTGTATCAGACAAGGAAATTTACAATGAATGAGGAATATTTGAAACTAGCATAAGTGATCATTATTTGGTGTATACGATTCGCGATTTTAGTGCAAAAATCCATAACAAATCTGAATACGCATAATTTCGCTCGTTTAAAAATCTTGACGAGGAGAAATTTTACAGTGAATTGAGAAGTACTCCTTGGCAGGTGCCATGTCATAAAATATAGAGATAATGTTGATGTTGCGTGGGATATGTGGTTGACTCTATTCAATAATATAATCAACAAGCACATACCAGTATGTAAAAAGCGGATAAGAAAAGAGGCATGTCCATGGATATCTGACGAGATTTTAAGCTTATGACGTAAGGTGATAAAGTTCTCAAAGCTGCTAAAGCTAACAAAAGTGATGATCTTTGGGACACCTACAAATATCTAAAGAATACAGTTATTCATCTCATGAGGAAAAGAAAAAGAGAATATAATGCAGACCAGATCTCGCAAAATCAATACAATAGTAAGCAAATGTGGAGATGTTTGTGAAACCTTGTGCCTAAAGTCATTACCTATTTCTCCCAATAGCATAAACGTTGATGGTGCTAATGTGTCAGACAATGCAAATATTGCTGAAGCTTTCTATGACTTTTTCATTTCTAATGCTACTAAGATTACAAAGGACCTGCGAAGGAATACGTCTCAACTGAGAGTAGTTTAATTTGAGTTTGATTACTGAGGATTTTGTATTGAAACAGATTGATAATCTGAGTATAGATAAAGCAACTGGTCAAGATCACATCACCGTAAACTTTTAAAGATGACGAAAAATGTTATCGCAGAGTCTCTTTGTGATATCATTAACAAATCCCTGTTTACAGGAGTTGTTCCACGTGAATGGAAAAAGGCTCGGGTAGTACCAATATTCAAATCTGGAGATATTTCTTCTTTGAATAATTACCGCCCCATTTCAATATTACCTATCGTGAGTAAAGTTATAGAAAGGGCCGTCCACCAACAACTCAGTGAAATCTTGGACGAGAATCAATTATTACACCTTTAGTCTGGTTTTAGACCTAAACATTCAACAGCTACTGCCCTTGCAAAACTTGTAAATCAATGGTCGTTGAATATTGATTACAAATAAATTTCTGGAGTAGCCTTCATAGATCTTCGTAAGGCTTTTAATACTGTTGACCATGAGCTACTTCTACATAAACTAGCTTGTATAGGTTGTAGTAATATGACTATTTAATGGTTCAAATCATATTTATGGGATCGACAACAAGTGACCCAATTCAAAGGAGCCAAGTCGCATCCATCAACCATCAAATTAGGTGTGCCACAAGGTTCAATTCTTGGTCCCCTTTTATTTTCAATATATGTTAATAGTCTACCTGAATGTACTCCTGAAGGTATCATAGATATGTATGCTGACGATACGACACTTACCGTCAGTGCAAATGATGCAACTGCTGTGGAAGAAAAATTAACTGTTGCATTACGCAGAGTCATGGCATGGATTAAGGAAAATCGTCTTGTTCTTAACACTGAAAAAACTTGTGTCATGTTAATAGGCTCTGGTGCTAGTCTCAAAAAATTGAATCTTTCACCATTTCATTAAATGGCAATTTGATCAAAAGAGTTAAATTCACCAAATGCTCAGGACTTTAGATAGATGAAGAATTGAAATGGTCTAAACAAATCGAAAACGTATGAGTAAACTTACCCAGAAAAACATTAGCATGATAAAGAGAGCAAAGAGTTTTTTGCCTCAAAGATTCTTAAAGTTACTTTATAACAGTCTAGTGTTGCCACGATTAGATTACTGCTCTAATATATGGTAGAACAGATTTCATTCTCATACAACTAAGCTGCAAAAAATTCAAAGAGGGCCGCAAGAATAATATTGAACAAGACATATGACACACCGTCGGCTGAGTTGTTCACAAGTCTTAAATGGATGGCACTAGACAAGCGGTTTGGGTTAAAGTAAAAACTTTAGTACTGGTAATGCGATTGCATTGTGAAAGAAAAGGTGTGAAAGGATCAGAAACAGTTTATCATGTAGCATGTAAGTATTGGTGTGCACTGCAAGGTTCTGGAGTCATCAAAATCATAATAAATTTGACCGAGTCTTGGTAAAGTAACAAGCACTCACATAGAAAGCTATATATGGGACAACACACATGGTGTCGGGGCTAGTACTACCTTGATTTCCTTGTCTTTCTATGCTCATTACCCAGCCAGTATACATTTTCTTCCAACATTGTTTGGCACATGTCATTTATTTGTATTCTTGAACATTCAGTGTAAGTTTCGTTTGATTCTGTGAGAATTTTTTTTTTTTTACCAGTACTGGAGTTTATCTTTAAGTCGCGTTATGATGATATATAATGCGCTCATAACTTAGCACCTTCTTACCTTCAGATAGGCTTAATCGATCCTAATGATGTACATGAGCATCATACAAGGCAAATAGACAGTGGATGTTTACGTGTGCCTAGATTTCACACTGATTGTTATAAGTGTAGCCAATTGTTCCTTCCATATTTGAATGAAATAAGCTAGATAATTCGTTGAGAACGGCTTCCTCTGTCAATTCATTTAAGAGATTGTTTAAACAACGTTGTAATTTGTGAATGGCTCAGCCGAACATACACTACGTGCAAGTTCTGTAATATTAACATGACTTATTCACATAATTGCGACTTAATCAATATTTTCCTATTGACATTACTGTTTACTAGGTTGATATATATGTTTATTTTGCAAATGAGTATTTTTTTTAACTGTTCTGTATAAACGTTATGAACGATGTAAATATGTTCATGTTTATTCAGGGCCCCATGGAAGACCACTACTTTTTGGTGAATGGGCTACCCTGTCAAAAGATTAGAAATAAATAAATAAATAAACAAAATTATTTTTGTAATAGGATTGATATATTTCACTTTCATAGATATGTCATCTTAGTTCTTTTATTTCATGGGTGTCGGTGGCTTAGTACCTTAGTGTTTGTACCTTAGTACAAACATGGGTTTAAAAGTAAACGATCATGAATATATTCATGCTCTCAGATATACAGAGTGAGTCAGAAAAAATGTCCCACTTTTTAAAAGTTGTTTTTTAAGTATGAATATTTAATCGTAGGTTTCATGATATGTCTTGATAGAGTTATCCTCCCAGTACATTTAGGTATCATTTTTATTTGAATTTTTGCATGCATGACTGAACATCAGACAATCTTTACAAGACTGCCAGATCTCACTTGCGCCAAGTTACAAAGACAGTCAGACACACCACACAAACACACGCACACAAACGCATTCGCGCACACACGTACGCACAAGCACGCACGCACAAAAACCGAACACATACACACACACATACGCACAACACACGCACAGGCACACAAATTATAAAATAAAACAATTCCCGACAAGGCCCATCCAAACTGTTACTTTTTGTTGGGAATTGTTCTTCTCGTACGAAAAGTTAAGTGGCCGCTGTCCTCTTGGCGCGTACTGGCGGATGTTGTGCTTCATGATGATGATCATGATGATCATGATAATGATGAAGATTAAGATGATGACATGATGGTGGTAGTGAATGTGTACTGAAGGGAAATATTGTCAGGGTTATGCCACTTAAACATTCAGCGATCTTGATAAAAATCAATGCTTAATCAGAAAAAAAAGGGAAATTATGAAACAAATTTCATCGTGTGTGTTGTGTGTGTGTGTGTGTGTGTGTGTATAATTGACTTTTTACAGACGTGTATCAATCAAATATGATTATTTACGTCTGGTGACCGACTTTTAACGTCACCATCCGAAAGACGTGACTCGGTTTCGAACCTGCGTCCTCAGCTGAATCAGTTTGTAGCTTCCATTATAAGCTGGATTACGTGCGCATGCCACAACGCCCCGTTATCAATTGTACCCAACGTGGTCTTGATTTTATACATTTATTTATTAATTAATTTTCGCTATTAAACTACCGATCTTTAGATTGTGTTTCTTCTATCTTTCCGTCGAAGTATTAGTAGTCAAACAACATCAAACAAAATATCATCAGTCTATTCTATCATGAATGTCCCGACTAAATTTCCTACATTGAATATTACATTTTATTTGCAATAACATAGTTGTAAATGTATAACTATCTTATTACTCACTATATATTTATTCCTTATACAGGCTCCTCTTCAGTCTCCTTCCTTTATCACCCTTCTCTCTTTCTCTCTCTCTCTCCCCCTCCCTACTTTTTCCACTCGATTTTGCCCATTTTGTATAACTTAAATATGACAGAAAATTATATGGCACTGAGAATACTGATAAACACACACATAGATGAAGAAGCATTTCAGACTTTCTCCGTTTGTTTGTGTAGACCCCCCCCCCCCGGAAAGAAAGGAGATATTATGTTGGTATATGTATATGTGGTATGTAGATGTCATATCATGACTTTGGACGAAATTTTCAATTAACTCATTGAATATGTTTCCGTTGAATAGAGCAACATGAGACGGCGCTTTTACAACAAATTGAGGAGCTAAAGAAGGGAAGAGAGGAAGACAGATCAAGTGCTGAAAACGAGAAGCGCTCATTGGCAGCAAATATGACGAAAAAACTGGAGTCTAAGCAACAACGCATAGACACTTTGACAGAAATCGTAGGGGAGAAAGAACGAAATGAGACGACGCTAATACAACAATTTGATGAGCTAAAGAAAGGAAGAGAGGAAGACAGAGCACAATCTGAAAAAGACAAGCGCTCATTGGCAGCAGATATGACGAAGCAACTCGAGTCTAAGCAACAGCATGTAGACACTTTGACGGAAACCGTAGGGGAGAAAGAGCGAAATGAGACGACCCTAAGACAACAAGTTGAGGAGCTAAAGAAAGGAAGAGAGAAAGACAGAAAAAGAGCTGAAAAAGAGAAGCACTCATTGGCAGCAGATATGACGAAGCAACTCGAGTCCAAGCAACAGCATGTAGACACTTTGACGGAAACCGTAGGGGAGAAAGAGCGAAATGAGACGACCCTAAGACAACAAGTTGAGGAGCTAAAGAAAGGAAGAGAGGAAGACAGAAAAAGAGCTGAAAAAGAGAAGCACTCATTGGCAGCAGATATGACGAAGGAACTTGAGTCTAAGCAACAGCATTTAGACACTTTGACGGAAACCGTAGGGGAGAAAGAGCAAAATGAGACGACCCTAAGACAACAAGTTGGGGTGCTAAAGAAAGGAAGAGAGAAAGACAGAAAAAGAGCTGAAAAAGAGAAGCACTCATTGGCAGCAGATATGACGAAGCAAATCGAGTCTAAGCAACAGCATGTAGACACTTTGACGGAAACCGTAGAAGAGAAAGAGCGAAATGAGACGACCCTAAGACAACAAGTTGAGGAGCTAAAGAAAGGAAGAGAGGAAGACAGAAAAAGAGCTGAAAAAGAGAAGCACTCATTGGCAGCAGGTATGACAAAGGAACTTGAATCTCAGCAACAACGCATAGACACTTTGACAGAAATCGTAGGGGAGAAAGAGCGAAATGAGACGACGCTAATACAACAATTTGATGAGCTAAAGAAAGGAAGAGAGGAAGACAGAGCACAATCTGAAAAAGACAAGCACTCATTGGCAGCAGGTATGACGAAGGAACTTGAGTCTAAGCAACAACGCATAGACACTTTGACAGAAACCGTAGGGGAGAAAGAGCGAAATGAGACGACGCTAATACAACAAGTTAAGGAGCTAAAGAAAGGAAGAGAGGAAGACAGAAAAAGAGCTGAAAAGGAGAAGCACTCATTGGCAGCAGATATGACGAAGCAACTTGAGACTAAGCAACAGCATGTAGACACTTTGACGGAAACCGTAGGGGAGAAAGAGCAAAATGAGACGACCCTAAGACAACAAGTTGAGGTGCTAAAGAAAGGAAGAGAGAAAGACAGAAAAAGAGCTGAAAAAGAGAAGCACTCATTGGCAGCAGATATGACGAAGCAACTCGAGTCTAAGCAACAGCATGTAGACACTTTGACGGAAACCGTAGGGGAGAAAGAGCGAAATGAGACGACCCTAAAACAACAAGTTGAGGAGCTAAAGAAGGGAAGAGAGGAAGACAGATCAAGTGCTGAAAAGGAGAAGCGCTCATTGGCAGCAAATATGACGAAAAAACTGGAGTCTAAGCAACAACGCATAGACACTTTGACGGAAATCGTAGGGGAAAAAGAGCGACATGAGACAACCCTAAGACAACAAGTTGAGGAGCTAAAGAAAGGAAGAGAGGAAGACAGAGCACAATCTGAAAAAGACAAGCGCTCATTGGCAGCAGATATGACGAAGCAACTCGTGTCTAAGCAACATCATGTAGACACTTTGACGGAAATCGTAGGGGAGAAAGAGCGAAATGAGACAACCCTAAGACAACAAGTTGAGGAGCTAAAGAAAGGAAGAGAGGAAGACAGATTACAATCTGATAAAGACAAGCGCTCATTGGCAGCGGATATGACGAAGCAACTCGAGTTTAAGCAACAGCATGTAGACACTTTGACGGAAATCGTAGGGGAGAAAGAGCAAAATGAGACAACCCTAAGACAACAAGTTGAGGAGCTAAAGAAAGGAAGAGAGGAAGACAGAGCACAATCTGAAAAAGACAAGCGCTCATTGGCAGCAGATATGAAGATGCAACTCGAGTCTAAGCAACAGCATGTAGACACTTTGACGGAAATCGTAGGGGAGAAAGAGCGAAATGAGACAACCCTAAGACAACAATTTGATGAGCTAAAGAAAGGAAGAGAGGAAGACAGAGCACAATCTGATAAAGACAAGCGCTCATTGGCAGCAGATATGACGAAGAAACTTGAGTCTAAGCAACAATGCGTAGACAATTTGACAGAAATCGTAGGGGAGAAAGAGCGACATGAGACGACTCTAAGACAGCAATTTGAAGAGCTACGCAAAGGAAGAGAGAGGGACTTGGAGCAACTCGAGCGTGAGACCTGGAAGCTGAGAACCAAAATTCAACTAGAAAGTGAGATACGATCAGCAGAGCAGAAGAAGAAAGCAGAGACACAACAGTGGAGTTTCATTCCTTGGGTGACCTCTGGAAAACAAACTCAGGGTGGTAAGATTTTATTTTCCAATCTCATTTTCCCTTTCAACCCTTTTTTGTAAATATACATTATACTATATATTAAACTCCCATTCCGTTTTGGCTACTTTTTAAAATATTTAGAATGTGAAGCTTATCAAGTCCAATATGGTCTTTTCAGCTTCCTACCCTATTTGCTACTTTGCAAATACTTAAAATATATTGCTTATCACAGTCCAAAATAGTCCTAAACCTAAATTTATTTATTGCTTGTTTTGTTTTTGTTGTCATTATGCCAAAATAACGCCTTTCGATTACATTATCCTAGGAAACTAGAGCTATGTAATGCTTGTGCAATATTTACACTTTAGAAGATAACAACAAAAAAAAGAGATACAGTGAAAGATAAAGATCATTCCAAACATTTCTCTTATATTCTTTTTTTCTCATTCTACCTGACTTCATTCCTTCGTGACAGGCACATCATCTGAGGATAATTCATCCGGAGGACTGGGAAGGAGTGATACATTACAAGCAGGGTGAGATGAAATATATATATTCTTTACATGACAATGAACGCATTATTGATCTCATAGTGACAAATCTACTATGGAATGTACTTTCGTGTGTAAAATGAGTGATGCTAAACTGGCAATAATAGTTCTAAAAGTACGGCAGCACTTATGTTCTATGAATCAAAAATCATGTTTAGAAATTTTATAACCATCTGTGATTAGGTAGAAGCAGAAGTGAATAAAAGATTAAAACTCATTAACAAAGAGATGAGAATCTAAGCTGCATTTCAGTCTATGGTGATTAGTGTTATAAAAGCATATTGAGTAATGGTCTCATCACCGGAAGAACGTATTTTCCCTTTTTTCATCACACAATGACAGATTTTGATTATTTTTTAAGTTGATACGTCATACCTATGTTCTCTGACCGCCCCATGTTTGTCTTTTTTTCTTACCGTGTACCATTCTAGGGAGGAGCCCCCAAATGATGAGTTTGCAGGCATATTACAGCGGATAGCTGACGATCTTTACGATGAAGCCAAGATCGACAGCCTTGCTGGTCAGCTGGGAATCCTACATGGTGATATACAGAGAGCGCTCATGACCAATGTGAAGTTCAACCGTGTAACCAGTGATGGAACTCGCCACATGCTGAAACAATGGAGAAGAGGTGTGTCAAGGGAGGATGAACGGATTGAGCTAACGAAGGCACTGCAAGCTGCCAAGTTGGTCAACCTTGCAGACCTGTATCTCAGCAAAGGTATCGTATACGTTCACAAAGAACAACTGTAGTTTCGTAACAAGGACCCCATTCAAAACTTCCGCAACATGCTGTTATATTTGGGGTATAATACGGCCCATGTGTTTAGAGTCAGATTGATAGTATTTTGTTTAAACAAGTTCATTTCCCACATTTACACCGTTGATATAAATACTAAGGATACTTAATGCAGAGAAAAGAAAGAAAAAGAAATCTCAGATACTACTTTAAATTAACAATTTCCTCATTACAGCTGTGCACACGAAAAATCCAAATAGATGCTGACTAGTAACGTAAAGTTTTCTTCTACTAGACTAGCTGGTATAAAACATAAACATTAAAGACATTTGAAATTTACTGCGACAAGTTCTACACAATCAAGTCCGATAAGATGCGTTTTGAGAAAGAAAAAACACAATTTTTGGTTCTCTTTCTTGCTACCGGTCAGGTGAAGCAGAAGAACAGATCGATGCTGAATATGCCCACGAAGACGTCAATAATCAGCAGCTCTCTAATAGAGATGAGACCTCTCTAGAAGAGGACCAGACCAAAGGACACACTGACGACATACAGGTACTTCAGGAAGCTACCTCAAGCAGCAACCAAACTCCTCGAGATGAGCATACAGAAGACATGGCGTCCAAAATTCAGGAGGACTTGACAGATGGAAGTAGGAGTCAACATCTTGACCAATCACAGGAGCGCAGTACGGAGGACTTGGATGAACCTGAGGTGACTTCTGAAGAAGTGTCCTTTGAAGAAGTTCATCCTGGTGATGATATGGACAACGTTAGTAGCATTCAACCCTCTGAACAATCGCCCAGTCATGGAATGCCAGTCCTACCTGAAGACATGTCTGAGAAAGCCCCTCTGGTATCTTATGGTGGGAAACCCAACGAGGAATTCACCAGCTTGGATACAAGCCATGTAGGCGGAATCATAAGTAACGACGAAGAGCTGATTTCTCAACTCGTTCTTATTGATACATCCCCGGAGAAAATATTGCTCCTTTTCCTCATGAAGATAATGATGGATGTTTCCCAGAAAGCACTCAGTTTATAAAGAATCACCATTGAACCTTCATCAAGTAAAGTTTACTTACATTAGTTTAGCTTGCGAGGTTTCAGGTCCATTCCAGGACCCTTTACCAGAGCGACTGGTCTTTAGCACCAAATGATTGTTGACCCATGAACGCGGTGACGTGGTCGAGGAACGTTGGCATGGTCGGCCTGGTGAAGCATCTGTGGACGTAAGACGTCGCAATCTAAAACAAGTAAATCCAGCTGACTTTTTTCGGATACATTATCAACTGTCTGAATGGTTTGAGAGAGTCATAGACAAAACCTTCATAACTATTAACCCAACCATATTATATCCAAACACTGCATGTATAATTTCAACATTGTTAATTGTGTATAGATATTACACGAATTGCATGAGAGCGGGATGTTTTTTAATGTAGATTTTAATGTTCTTTTTGGCAAATATCTGGATATAGAAATTCGATTGATTGTAGTAGTTATTACAAGAGTAATTTATTATAACCGGAGCAATTTCAATTTATCGTTACACATCTCTCAACAAAATATTATGCTTGATCAATCCTATAATATCATTTTTTCCATTTCACTGTACTTTTTAAAGCCCCACTGTCCTACTTGTAGCTACTTGCTCCCTCTATATAGAAAACTTCCCCAATCGGTGCCTGTCGGTCCCCCATGATCCTCTTTTTCTTATGTTGGTTGAGAGCTGAGTTGATGAGATAGCCAACTGTAAGCGACCTGGCTGGGTGGTCAAATCCCTTCTGGCCCAGTAGTATTGACGGTCCCTAAAAGAAATATTAATTCAAAGCAGAAGAATCGAATTATTTCAATTAAAAAAGCTGCAACGCTCGTTGTTATTTCTGTATCTACCGCCATTCTGAAACATAGTTAAAACAAGAGTCACTTATTATTTAAGACAGTATCTTGACCAGATCTTAAAAATATCTCTAACTGTTGTTAATGTTGTTGATTACACAGAGTATATAAGAAGACTTAGATGGGAACGTGATATATGTAGGCTATTATTAGAACTTTATAAACAGTTGGCTTATAACTACAATATTAGCAGAAACTCATTTGGTTGTACAAAGATGAGTTCATACACATGGAATGCCACGTGTGCTTGCGTGTGTGCGTGTATGTGTGTGTGTGTGTGTGTGCAAGTACATCCATATATCCATGTGGGCTGAGCATGTAACATTCAGCAAGACTGATTGAGTCGATATCCTCTCATGTCGGTGATGCCGTCAAACTAAGGGATACAACACTGTTTATATGAAACACAATCAGCTCTTGGGTTTTTTCAGACAGTTGCTTGACCAGATCTCAAAAGTATATGTAACTGTTTTTTTAATGTGTTGAGAGCATGTAAAACAAAACAAAAAGAGAAAAAGGAGAGTGAAAGAATGGTTAATATTTCATGAATTTATTTTAAGAACATCTCTTATGAAACCTTTTATACCGTGGTGAAAGCATACCAGGTACCCTACCATTATGAAATGGAATTGCTGTATGATATTTGCTACATGTTTTCCTATGATACTTTTGGAGTTGAAGCTTTGTAATGTTTGGCATTCCTTGTTTTCACGAAGTGACGGTAGTGAGGAAAATCGTAACGCAAAGTGAATGCAATTTTTTTTCACTACCGTCACTTCGTGAAAACAGCGACGAATTCTGATTTTTATCCATATCATATTTTCATATGTCATAATTTTAATATAATGTCGTTTTTCATAGTATCATTATTGATATTCAAACCTTAAATCTATCTTAACTGATCTATTGTTTAGTTCCTAAAATATTATTTTCAAAATATTTAGGTTAAACGGAAAAATCCACAGATTATAAAACAAAAAATACTTAGATGTAGAAATGGTAGATGTAGGCCAAAACGGTAGAACATATAACCAGTTGGCTTATTAGCAGAAACTCATTTGGCTGTACAAAGATGTGGTCATACACTGGACATGCAAAAAATATGAAAGGAAATTCCATAATCTCTTAATTTGTTAATCAAAAATATTGAATAAATGGAAATGTATACTTTGCGCTTGCTACATCAATCGTTAGTACTATGTATATACAGAAATGCGCTTTGCTTAATCGTAATCAAACGTTACTCGCATGTACAGTATGCAGGCATTATCTGCTTGCAAAATATCGTTTGGGCTTAGTTGCCATCCTAAATCAGACAACTCTTGATTTTTGTGTATCCCAGAATTGCAAATGTATTTTTGGCTGTATAGCACCTAGGAAATGCTAATCGTTCATAAAAATTGTGTTTGATATTTTAAGTCATATGCAATTGTCATCATGTATGTTACAATGTACATTTATATAGCTTACATGATACTCTGCAAATTATGTAAGAAATAAAGTAACATGACTTTTGGTTATAATGTAAGCTACTAGTAACATTTCATTGTCTTCCTCAATATATCACTAATTTGTATTTCTCTACCAGATCGTTCTTCGGCTTAATATAATTTTACTTACAAGAGAATCATAGAGTTTGCCACAAAATGTTCAATAAATCATTAGAATATATAAATAGCATTGATATCTCTCTCATGTGTAAAGTGTTTTCGGAAGTTAATCAAGGTGTCGGGTGGGTATAATTATTATACAATCATGATTTAACCCATTGTCATCAATGGGTACAAGTATATATTCAACACCAGACGGACGGGACAAAGATTTCACCCTCGCCTTAAACATTGTTTAGTGGAAGATTATGCAAGGGGAAGGGGTATTTACTCGTAAATGATAATACATGTACATGTATATGTAACAAAGAGGAGCATTTGCGATAGACTTGTTTGTGTATTGAAGAGAGAAGTATTTAAAAAGAGGGAGGGGGAAATGGAGAGAAAAATAGAGAGAGAGAGAGAGAGCAATAAAGAGAAAACTAAAGAGTAGGAGAGAGGGGGAGAGAGAGGACCAAAGAGGGGGAGAGAGGGGAGAGAGAGAGAGAGAGAGAGAGGGGGAGGCGGGTGGGAGCATGCACACGTTACAACTTGCACTGTTCAAATCAAGGCACTATGAAGATTTAAATGGTAAATGCTCTCTGAAGGGCAAAAACATAACGATCAACTTTAAAACTCTAATATGAAGTTGACAGATTTATAAATTACATGTTAACTTATGATGTTTTATTTACTTAAAGCACGAACAAAGTGCCATTCTAAATTGAAATGCACAAAGCAAGACAAGTACTCGTGAAATATGCTTCGTGTTAATATTGTAGCATAATTGGTCCAGTATGTAGTAAGACGCAGAGGGCATTATAGATAATTGTGAAATATATACATGTACATCGTAAGATGTCAGGCAGTCAACGTTGAGCTGTCGTTGCGACATGTACGTTACAAGGAACGAGATAAAGTTACTTGAACTACAGATACTGTATAAGTGTTGTTTCGTCAGTTCCTGTCATACATTTAGTGGTTGCGGAGTGAGTAAAATGAGAGCTAGTCCACGTTTCTTTCTTACACGATATACTTTTGTGAGAGCCCACTGAGCGATCGTTGATGAATGATTGTCGAGAGCGTGAACCGGGTTTTGAGAGACTGCAAGGCAGAACGCTGAGCCCGGTTACGCCATAATATTCTGCCCTTAGTGATTTTTTCAATTAAGCCCTGGAGCCCAAACTATACTTCACTTTCACTCTTACCCTAAACTTAATCTAAAACCCAATACCAATGTTTTCCCTGAAGGCGCTCTAATCATTTGACCGAAATAAATCCCGGCCCATTTTTTTTTTAACTTGAACCTTTTTGGCACTTGAAGGCAAACAAAATGTTATTTCAAATCGCTGATATGCCTGAAAAATCCTCAAAGTTGGACAATTACATTCACTGAGGATTTGACATGGTGAGACTCGCAGAAAGAAGGCCGGGTTTCGCAACGATGCTGAAAGCTGTATCCTGGAGTTCTAGTTTAGAAGTTCAAGACGAATATGGCAAAAGCATCATACTGATCTTGAGTATCCTGTATAAACATTTATGTTAATGAATACAGAGATAAATTAATTAATGAATAGATAACTCATGAAAATCTCCTGTAAAAAGCACACTAGGCCCAAAAATAAACGACAAATGGTAAGTCCAAAAAAAAAAAAATCCGAGCATACCAATAGGAAATAAATCAAGGCTAAAGTGTTTATCAAGACGTTTCAAGTGAATTGCAGTTGAAGGAAAAGCAATTCAGGGTCTATTTACCCAAGACTTTTCGCAGTTGAATAGAAAAGGATACACACAGGAAAGACAAAAGCGATAATATTAGCTGTTAGTTGTGTGAAGAGAATATATGTATAGCTGTGCATGAAAAAGAAGTGGAACGGTTCTGGAAAGAGAAGGTAGAAAGGGAAATAAATGACAGTAATGAGGATTAATGCCCAACAAAGTTGCACTAATATGGCACATCGACACAGTTTCGATCCTGGGGCCTCACAGTTACGAGGCCATTGCCTTGTCACTGAACCATGAATGTACGCAGCGGGGGCTAGGGTAGGGGGTAGTTCCCACAAATAAAAATAAAAAATAAAATGCAATAAATTATCAATCATTCATTGAATTTCCGCCTGGTCCTCAACCAAAAAAAATCTTCTGTGTGCCCATGTCTTGAGCCATAATGCATGGCCGTACAGAGGATTTGTTTATGTTAGGGACCGGGGGGATTCAATGAATTATTGATAATGTATTGCATTTTTTTTGGGGGGGAACTGCCCCCTACCCTAGCCTCCGCTACGTACATTCGTGGTTCAGTGGCAAAGCAATGGCCTCGTAACTGCGAGGCCCCAGGATCAAAACCATGTCGATGTGCTATATTAGTGCCCTTTTGTGGGGCGTTAATCCTCATAACTGTCATTTGTGACTTAAGGGCATAGGTCCCCTAGTTGATGACCATAGTAGCATACACATGCATTAGCATTTACGCAAAACAAACACTGGCAAATTATTAATCAATAAAATATGAGAATGTATACTATTAGCTAGATCTATTAGGAATAAATCATTGTCAAAATAATTCCATAAACTGGGGTAAAAAATATATATATTCCACTTATATGAGCGACAGTGTAAATGTTTGGGATTTCCATTTGGTTTTCTCTTTCTTAATTCTGTTGCTTTAGTACAAACTTGGACTATATAAACTTTTCTGAATGTATTCAAACTCATAGATATACAATATATTGGTGTTTTACAAAGAGTACCCCCACATCGACGTTAACTACCAACTCTTTTTTTAATTTTTTTTTAAATAATTCGGAATGCACTTTTATAAACATTAGTTGTAGTGCTTTGCTAAGAATATTATATTCGTGCACAATGATAAAGATATGTTTGCTAAACCACTGATGATATATTACTCCCTCAAGAAGAAAGATAAATAAAAACATTTGAGAGTCTTTTATCTGTATAGTTCATACTATTATTAATCTTTATCTGCTTTCTTCCGCCCTTTGTCTTCGTTTACAATACGTAAGTATAAATCTTCAGTCATCTTTCTAAATCGTTTTCCTTATATTTACATTTCCTGATTCTTTCAACAATAGGAAAGAGTTTATAATTCATAAATATAATTTATGAACCGAAAGGTATATC